TTACAACTCTAGATAGCAGCGGCGCCCGTGGTGTAGTGGTAAGCAGGCCTGGGTTCAATCCCAGTCAACGCTGCCGGGAAGTTCTGAGGCATAACATCTCTGATCACGCCTTCCTTCGGAGTTCCCGGTTCATGAGTTGATGGGTCGATAGGTAGGGTCCAGGTGTGGTGCTCATTTGGTAATAACTTTTCACTCAGATGTTGAAATTTATTTTTCTTTTAAGTAATTGATAGATTAGGCTATAGATATGCGAAGATTAGGTAAAGCTTAACAATTTGAATCAATTTAACACTTAAATTCCGAGATGTGCAGTGAGCATTTCTCACCTCATTTTAACAACGCAAAAACAAAAACAGTTTACTACTAGCATTAAAATCTACTTTATTTTACATATCTATAACAAGCTTACACTCTATTCTATCTACTGCTTCAAAAAGAACTATGTTCCGTTAACTGTGTGCAAAGTTATTAACAAATGAGCAGTTCGTGACCAAAACTGTGTATGCAAAGCATGGGTGTGGGTAGCATTGGTGCATGGAAAACAAATACAAGGAAAAAAATAGCATTTTGTGTGGTCGTTGGGAGCGTGTGGTTCTGAATTGACAACAAAATGTTCCGCAATTGTATCTTCCCTATTCGTACACGCCCGAAGATCGGTGGAACCATTCTCTGATGACTGTGTTGGGGAAGCAGCACATGCATGTACGTAATTGGTGGATTTGTTAGTTATTTAGAAGCTTTTGGACAATGCTTGACATTTACCACTTTTTCAATAGTTTCAATTTAAAAATCAACAGTCAAGAGCATTGTTATCGATGCGTAAAAATGTTTCTGATCAATTGGTGATTTTTTTTCCCCCTCGGTTCGGGACTTAACACTACTGCGACCAGTTAATTGATCTATTGTAGTATATCCCGTGTCCTTAGTTTAGTGCATGTCGTATTACTCCATCACTATTGAGAAATGATGAAGTATTCGATTTTTTTACAGTTGCCACTCTTGAATTTATCGCAAGGATCCGACTCTAATTGAAAGGTCCCACTATTTATACCATGTGGAGTGTTGAAACACTCTCCAAAGACGCGCCCCTTTGTCAGTCAAAATTGGATTCCTTAGCAACAAATTAAGGAATGACACCGATAATGACCATGCATCAAAACCCTAGTTTTAATCACTTCAAACTAGGGAACAACGAATAGAAGATTAGGAATCACATAGATGAAGACAAATGACTCATTTTCTCGATTGGTGATAAAATAATTGAAATTGGTCCAGGGGCAGCTAAGTTATTAACGTTCAAAATCTTTCATAATTTCATTTTTCGCTTTTCATAAATTGTACCCCCATCTTCCCGAAAGACGTAGTCCTACGTTAAAAATTGGAGGCCGAAAACTGTAGAGTGTATAAGTGAGTGACATTAGTTATGTCGAAAAAAATAGGAAACAGATTGCCGACTGGACTCGAACCACGAACGTTGCGATTATCAGACCTCTCTCCATGCTTCTGAATATGGATAGCCTAAAAGCAAACACTAAGCGCTCATTTTCTCGCATACTAGACTTCGTATGCTTTTTCTGCTGGAGAGATTCGAGGCAAGATTCGAGGTATAGTCGAAAGCGTAGATAGAACACGAAAAAAAACCATTGCATCGCCTGCATGGTCAATTTCTAACATTCGTTGCGATGTTCATGAACAGAGGATGAAAGGAAACGGAACTAACATTCATGGTTTGCGTGTAGTCACAATAAAAGTTTTACAATTGAACTACTTTTTGACTGATAAACAAGGGATATATGTCCCAACGGTAACAGGTTCAAAATAAGTTTAAGCAGAAAAAGTTGTCAAAATTCCCAAAAAAAAAATACTTGGTTTGGCAGGCGATTTGCACCCGTGGACTGAAAAGCCAGAACTGGCATTGTCAACCAAAATATTTATGAAAATAAATGTTTGCAAAAACGATTGTTGCCTTTTTTTTTGAGAAACGCAATTGTTCCGTGCTGTTTTGGCCAGACCTCGCTTCCTATCACTACGGAAAAATGGCTCAGGAACGGTATACTGCCAAAAACGTGCAAGTCTACCTAAGGACAAAAACTCACCAAACTCGCCGGAGCTGCACCCAATTGAAAATATTGGGCAATCGTTAAGCGGAACCTCAAGTTTGAAATGAGAAACAGTTCAAAGCAAATTAACGTTCAGCATCAAATAAGGTCGATACAACAGCGGTGAAACGTAAAGCCCGACAGATCGCATTTGGAAAATTGATCATTTATTCAATAACATAATCAGTGTGTACTTAATCATGATAGATCAATTTTTGACCGTTCCACCCTTTGTCATGCATACGGTATTGCCGTTCAAGTTGAAAATCGGAAAACACCACACGCGACATTAGAGTTCACTCTCGTTCTGTACGTTAAACATAACGTCGGACCTAGTGCGATGTATCCACACAATGATGCGCTATACAGCGCACTATGACCGACGTTATGTTTAACGTACAGAAAGAGAGTCAAATCTAATGTTGCGTATGGGGGTTGCCGATGTCCAACTTGACCAACAATACTACAGCAACTAATTTGTTTTCTCGCTAGAAGTCATTTGAAGTTGATGCAGAAGCCCATGTCTGTTGCCAAGTAAAAGGAAAGGGAATCTTTCGAAAACCGTGACGTGACTCTTGTACACCGAATCTATCCTATGGCAGGGGCTTTTTTTCTCAACGTAAACACGTCACTCTAAATAAGCCTAACGTTCTCTGAAACGAACCCTGCAGCACTGGTATTGCCTATTATAAAGTTTGAGATCATCGGGTTTTATTCATTGAGGATGATAGCTAGTTATAAATTATGAAACTTTGGGATATTATAATAATAATTGATATAGTGGAAATGGATGTAATGTCGGCCTCAATGCCCCCAATTTGGGCCCATACATAAATTCAGAAATCGACTAAATTTTCAATAGCGACAAAAAATATCCATTAATACCGTCCCAATGACGCATTCATCTAGATAAAATTGATAAATAGCTGTTTTTTAGCGATGGGCCCAATCTTAGATCCATAGGCCAACATTAGAGTCATTTCCCCTACTAGCCTATGTGTCATACACAAACTTTACCTTCTTTTCTTATCTAACTTTTAGAAAATACTATTATTATATCTCATAGTTTCATAATTTTGAAGAGCTTCATTTTAGCTGTAATGAGTATTTTCAAGCTTGGGCCCAGCAATAATCTGTTGGTTCTCAGCGTAATGATAGAATTATTATTATATCAATAGCAATAATAACACCCGTGGCTGTGCTCCGGCAAAAATAAAATTATTGTTCCAACGCGATCTGTGCTCAAAGAGCACTAAATGGAGCCAAGATTCAGCAAACGATGAAACAGCAAAAACCTCACACTACTAGCCATTCATCTGCCATTGCTACGAAATGTGGAAAACGGTGCACACGGAACAAATCGAGACTTGCACAACCATCCGAAGGAAACTGATTTCCGCACTCGCAGCCCCACCGAGTCCCCAAAAGCGTCACACCACGGAGTACAAACAAGTTTTCCGATCCTGTCAAAACTTGTCCGGCCAAGCTTAAAAGTTTTCCTTCGGAGTCACAACCACCAAAAATTGTTCCACACTGCCAATGAAAACGATCGAAATTTGAGTTTAGTTTAGTCATAAATCACATAAAGTGCAGGAGCTCAGCGATGAGTAAATATGCCTCATGTTTTTTCCAGATTTGTCCAGGAAAAAAATCCCGAGTAATGAGACCCCTAGAGTAAGTAAAATTTCCGTCAATTTTCCTCATTTTTCGGCATATTTTTCAGGTTTTCCACAGAAAAACATGAAGCAATTTTACTCATCGCACAGTTCCTGCACTTCATGTGATTTATGAGTAAGCTGAACTCAAATTTGGGTCGTCCTCATTCGCCGTGTAGATTTCCTTTTAACTTCAATTCCCTTCTGAATAGCAATTTTCTGAACACATTACGACAGCGAAGGTGAAAAACAATCACCCGGAGAAAATTTTCACCTTGCCACACAAGGCCAATGATATCCACCCAAGTTTGAGTTCAGTTTACTCATAAAACGCAAAAAATGCAGGAACTCAGCGATGAGTAAATTTGCCTAATGATACTGCGATTATGAGTAAACTAAACTCAGATTTGGGTTGATCTCATTGGCCGTGCAGAGTTCTCCAGAAAGTCCCGAAAATGTTCACGCTGCTTGTTTGGCCCGGTTCTTGGCGTCGGTACATTTCTCCAACTGATGAAGCAGAGTTTCGATTGATCAGAACTTTTTCAATTTTCCGCATCCATATGGGAAACTTATGCTGTACTAACGAGTAATTCAAACACAATTTGTATTAGATTTTCCGTTTTCAATTTATTAATTCATTTCATTTATCATCCTTAAACCTAGAATTACGAAATTCCTCCTTCTACAAAGGCGTCTGGAGACTCTGAACAAAGATTATTTTCGGCAAATTCTCACAGAAAGTGTTTAGCACCAACCTTAATCTGCCTTCAGTTGCTTTCAATTGCACATTCCTCAAATATCTTAATAGCTAGGCTCTTTCCTGTACATTGGTATTGTACAAAAATGTACAGCTTTGTCTGGTGGGAGCATTTTCCAACGTCGGAAATTGTCCTCAGATTACTCTCTCTCCACCTCTCTCTCTTTTTCTCGTCACCGTGGGGTCAGTCAGTTGAGGTCACAGCTCTATAACTCCTAAATGAACATCGCATTTGTTGTTGCTGTTGCTTTTTTTTTTCTTGGCAATATGGATATGGATTTAAGTAGAAAATTGAGCAAAAACTGGATTGACGCCAGTCGGTAGTCTAAGGAAGCTTCAGTAATGCAAATCAGTGACTTGTTATGCTATTTCCTAACGAACGAAATTTCTACAGACTAGAAACTCTATGATCTATATGAATGAATGGTACAGGTTGAGAAATGTTCAGTTTTCTGAAAAGTGTCTCATGTCGGGGTTCGACCGGATTGAACTACAATAGACTGTTGATATGATCATAGCACTAGCGTTTTCGAAAACGAAAGCTAAACCGAAATTGTTTAAACCTATCCTAGAATTATGCCGGAAACTAGTCCGCCAGCTCTTCGACTCGAATCGGAGGATCCTGAAGCTGGAGCTGCTCCAGCGTAACTATTCGCTGGCGGAGGCCTTCCATCGGTTCTATCACATCCTTGGGCAGCACGTCGGCTGCTATGGAGACACTTTCCGGTACTGTTGTCGTTTCTTCGACGCTGGCCGGTGCGGTCTCCGAGGAATACAGCTCTTCGGCAGCCGGTGGCTTGTCCACTTTTTCCAACAACTCAATCGATTCAACCGAGTTGTTGTTGACTTCCGCCGTGGATTCATCGGACTGTTTTACCGTGGCCAATTCTTCGACCTTGGACGATTCGATTGGCTTGGCAGTGGCAATGGCAGCCTTCCGTTTGTAGCTCTGGATGTAAAAGTTCATGAACAGCACCAGGAAGATGCTGGCGTTGATGAGCAGCAGCGTGGAGATGAATCGTGGAAACGGGCAGCCCGTCACCAGAGCGTTGATGCAGTGAGCGATGCAGAGAATGAACTGGATCTGCAGGGAAGTGGAGAGAGATGATGGGAAGCGATATTAGAAAATTTATTTTTGAAATGTAAAACTCGAATTTATCCGCCTTGGATGAGATCTATCCATGCTTACTGATTTCCGACCAAAATTCCATTCAGTACTGTGAAGTAAGATAATGTGTGAATGAAATGTTGGTCTATGAAGAGATATTGGTTTCATATGTCATACGACGTATTCAGACTGGTATCTTGGGGCTCCCCGAACTTGTTAAGATGTGGGGTTGCCATATGGTATCCTAAAGAAGGACATGTCCTACAACCTCATCTTATATAGCAAATGCCATTCAATAGTGGGATCAGGAATATACTACAGCTGTCACCCTCCCTACATTTGGTGAATTTTCACTTAAATTTAACAGATGATTTTTTTTAAATAAACTAGACTTATTTCTGACAGACCAGGGATCAATTTTGACAAACAGTTCCTCGAAATTCGGATGATCAACAACAGAGAGATTTTCAAAAATTCACCAAATCTCGATTACGTTTCCGAAGGGACGTAGCTGACTTTTGTAAACAATGCATTTGATCATCGATTTGACGTAACTGGTAGCTCGTCCACGCATACTAACAGTACCATCAAATAAAGGAAAATATCCTCTACCTGATAGTGGTGTTAGAGCCTTAAACTGTGTTCCAATTGGGAAATTTTCATCTTATGTTGAAATTACGGAAATATATTATAATCTTCGAAAATCCCCCCCCCCCCCCTTTTTTCGAGAAGGTGTTTGTCAAAATGGTTTTTTCGTTTGTCAGAAATAAGTCTGATAAAATACCAGGGTTATTTGAAAATATCCATTCCTTACAATATAAGTGAAAATCAGTCTTCAAGGTGCAGCATAGCGCTGATGTGCAAGCAGGCTTTTGCGCTTACCTGAACATACACTCTATGTTCACGCATGCACTCAGGAAAATGATCTTGCACCCCAGCATGAGTGCAATGTTTGCGTTCGAACATCGCTTGTTTCAGCGTTTGAAAAACATCGTTCGTACACAAGCGCAGCAACCCACCGTTAGTTTTTGGACTCATCCTTGCTTTCCGTTGTTATTGTGTGACTGACAAACGCGATACATTTTCAGCGTGGTGAAAACTAATTTTTATCCAAATATCTATTATTGGAAGGAATTGCCCCGGAAGCGGCTGTTATTGTGAAGCTAACCATGTGCTAGCAGCTTCAGCTATCAGCTGCCATAAGTAAATTTCAGCAAATTCTATAAATAACTCTCCTACTGGTTATATGATGTAGTGTTTCACAATGATATGAATTTGATTATTTGGTTCTATAAACAATTTAATAAATAATTTTCTACTAAAAGAAGTGGACGAATTTTTACGTTTAGTATAGAGGACCTTTCAAATATGTCGTGCACAGTATTTTCAAGTTGTTACCCGCCCTCTTATTTCACGCATCTTTCGATACTTATCATGTAAGGCCCTCCCCACTTTTTGTTCCTTTTGCATATCGTTTTACTTCATTACTATTGAGAAATGATGAAGCATTCGCTTTTGATACGATTATTCTTGTTTTCATAGCAAGGAACCGATTTTAATAGAAATGTCCCTTCGAAGAATTAGAGCACCCTCTAAAGGCACACTTATTTGTCAGTCAAAATCGGATTCCTTAGTAACAAAATCAAAAAATGACAACGATATTGACCATGCATCAATACCCTAGTCTCAACCAGTTCACCAACTTCACTGATTTGCATTACATAAGTATTCTCTCATACACACCCCTCAACAACGTTTATGTCCGCTCATAGTTTACTACAGCGTTTAAAAAACATCGTTCGTATCAAGGGGTAGGTCACTCCGCACACCAATCTTCGCTCAACATTTTTCTCAGTGTACCACAAGTGTATCGCTGGTGTGCCGATTGTTTCGATTGTGCCAGGCATAGAGTAAGCAGCGATTTTTTAAAATACGAATAGTATGGTATATTTGGCAACCCGGTATTTCTGACAGCTTGAATGTTTAGGTTTGCAATCGCAACGGCCCGGGAAATGTCTAATATCGTGCTCGATAAGGATTACTTCTACCGACGAATAAAATGCCTCTGTGCGAAAAGTCAATCTTTTTCCTGACCAGCAAGAAGAAGGTCGATTTCCTGAAGCAGGCCGAGAAGGATGGTGGGGAGGGAATTCCGTCGGTGAAACTGTTGGTTCGGGAAAAGAACGACAAAGACTAGGCCAATTTTGAAAAGCTGCTGGAGGCGATCAAGGGATCTAAGGATGGAAAAATGTTGGGCGTCTTCTCCAAGGAAAACTTCCCGGGTGAATTCTGTGAATCGTAGCGAGCCTTCATCAAGGACAAGAGCTTCGACACGGTGTACATCAGCGTCCCAATCGCGTACATCATGTGCTCCAAGGAAGACTCCGAGGTTATCACCATCAGACGGTAGACGTATTCAACAAGTACCTCAAGGATAACATAATGGAGATGACGGACAAAAGGTACGTCTCCGGTGAAGATACCAACTAGTTGGACATGTGCTACCCAACAATTATCCAGTCGGGTGAGAATTACAGCTTGAAGTTCAGTGCATTCAGCGACAAGAACTATCTGCACTTCGGATCGATCATCTATGCTCTGGGTGCGCGTTACAAGTCTTACTGCTCCGAACGTTGCTGGTCAATCCGACGGAAACGATTCAGAAGCACTACACCTTTCTCCTCAATTTGGAAGAGGAACTGCAGAAAGTGATGATTCCGGGCAAGAAGCTTTCGGATGTCGGATGTCGTCGGATTGGTTTATGTCAAGAAAAAGGATCCCAAACGATAACGTTCGTGTTGGAGTTCCGGGAGAAATCCATCCTAGTACTTCAAAAAGTGCAATTCGATTTAAAAATTGTAAGGAAATTAGGTTGAGTATAGAAACAATATAATTTCCGAGTGATTGTGCCGCGAAAATTAGTTCGGTATTGTTCAAATGAGTTTCGATTGGTAGACGAACAATTGACCGACTATTTTTCACGGCACAATCAAACGGAATTTTTATTGCTTCCACTCAACTTAATTAACTTTTATTTTTGTTACAAACATCGAAAGCCATTTATTTCATCTTGCATAAGATGACACATATCCGAAAATAAAATTACTCTTCTACTTAATTCGAATTTAAACTGTAGTCTCTCTTCAAATTGAAATACGTCACAGCGGTGGTAAGGCCACAGTTGTTACCCTTCACCGCCATCAAAGCATATCCATTGATGCCACAGTAGTTCGACAAGGAGTTCCAGTAATCTTCTCCTTTGAGTTTTCCGTATCCAACCACCACCACTGCATGATTCAATCAATCCAAACTTTTCTTGTATTCCGGTTCGTAGTACACTCCATTTTCGTAGTAGCTGAAAGACTTGTGACCGGCATCGATAGCAATCGACAGCCCTCGGAAGCCTACATTTCGAATTTAAATGTGAACCGAGAAGTGTATTGCTGGTCTGAGTTCCTCTAGTATTTTCAAATAGAGTATGTTTCTGAAATATACAGTCAAACAGCACGTAATGTTGGGAACAACTTCAAGGCCTACGAGATTGTGCAGAAGGTGTACCGAAGAGGTGCCGATGGATGTGCCCAAGTTGTGGCGAATCTACTTTCGGCACACTGTGCTGAGTGACATACCCCTTGGTTCGTATTCAAGTGCAGCAAACAGGCGTTGGCGTTGGAAAGAATGAATGATATTAAAAAGAATTATAAAACGGAAGAATTCAAGCTCTAACCATCAACTTTGAGTGAATCAGACTGGGATGTTCACCTCTCGTCTGTTATTACTCTGAAAGATGTGTAGGCTAATGGCGTATAAGAAGCGTTCATCGCTTTCATCTGCCCTTTCTATTGCAACATAGCGAGCCTCAATGTTCACACTTGCATGCAGGTACGAAGCATCACGTTCGATGTGCAGAGTATACCTGAGTTCGATGAACGTGCACTGAAGAAATTGAAACTCAAGTTCAACGCCGTCTATGTTTCGTGAAGACTGGTGAAAATTCACCAAATGGAACAGCAATCCAACATGTTTTCAATTTTGACGTTCTGGTTCTATGGGATTTTAGGTGTTGGTTTAGAGTCCTACACGGAAACAAATCCGATTCCATTTTCATGAATAAAAAATCATGAATTGAAAAAACTTGCCATCCCATGGAATCGTAACAATGATTCATGATTTCGTCATGGAAATTTATGATTTCATAATGCAGTGGAATCAAGACCACTACAATCGTTACACGTACTTGGCAAACCGTGTTCATGAGCCGCACTACATAGATATCTCTTATACGCCTGTTGTCTTCCATCTTATACAATTACTGATGGTCAAAGTATGGGTTTAGTCATCTCAAGGTTCTTGGTTCCAATCCAGTCTGATGCTTTATTTTATTCTTTTTGAATTTTTTGGTTAAAAGTTAAACCCATGAATTTAGCTCATGATTTCAACTCGGATGATTCATGATTTTGGGAATGTTTGCTGCGTTACGCAAAAGTTGCTCATGATATCATGAATATTATTCATGGTGTATTTTCATAACATGAAAATACGCTGTGGTCATGAAATCATGAGTTATTTATCTTATTTCGGAGATCGGATTTTTTCCCGTGTATGCTGAATCAATGGTAAAATTAACAGGTTGCTTAGATTTTCATGTCGGTTTCGCGATCGCATGAATCCGGATTTGTTTACATGATAAAAGTTGGGATGGTTTTGCACATGCACAACTATAGGAACCTAACGCTTCTAACGTACCACAACTATAGGAGCGTTTCCCCTAACAGTAATTGATTTTGCTTTTGAGTTATCATTCCATGCGTTTAAGCTCATAGCGGATTATGGCCACTTTCTAGGGATCTCTAGGAACACGTCCAATAGTAACCAATACGGCTTTGGGTGTTCAAATTGACTATGTAACTTAAATCCGGAGAACTTTGAGATTTGGGCGTAATTGCATTTGTAAACAAACACTTCGATCACCGATT